AACAGACGGTGAACACCCTGCGCCAATACGTGTGGATGCTGCGTTTAAGGCCGACCGTCAAGACCGTATTACGCAAATGCACAACATGCGCCGTACGCCGGAGGAACCCCGACGTCCCAGTGAAAGGGAACTTGCCAAAGGAGCGACTCGACGCATACGCCCGGCCGTTTACAAGATGCGGTATGGATTGTTTCGGGCCTACGATAGGTCGCAGGCGAGAGAAGCGATGGGGGCTCCTATTCACGTGTATGGTCACCCGGGCCGTGCATATAGAACTCATAGCGGGGTTATCAACCGACTCTGCTATAATGGCGATACGACGCATGGCAGCGCGTCGTGGCTGGCCACGAACCTTTATGTCGGACAACGGAACGAACTTTCGCGGAGCCGACGTGGAGCTTACGACTGCGTTTAAGGAATGGCTCCCTGAACTGGAAAAGTACGTCAGCAACAAGAGGATAAACTGGCGGTACAGCGACCCGGGCGCACCGAACCAAGGAGGAGCGTGGGAGCGACTGATAAGGAGCGTGAAGAGAGCGCTAGCAGTGGTACTGCACGAGCGGGCGCCGAGAGAAGAGGTGCTCGCAACGCTAATGACGGAAGCAGAACACACCGTCAATTCATAAACCCACGTCTCAGTGCGACCCGAGGACGAAGAGGCGCTGACCCCCAACCATTTTCTGATGGGCTCAGCCGTCGGCCTACCGTACGTAGGTACCACCGACGTTGCCGACCGCAGAACGTGGCGCGCAGCACAGGCGCTATAGATTCTGGCAGCGGTGGTTACGAGAATACCTACCGACGCTGACGCCCAGAGACGACGTACGACGGAGCACGGCAAACATCAAGCCGGGCGACATGGTTTTAATAGTGGACGGCCTGCTACCTCGCAATCTGTGGCCGCGCGGGCAAGTGGAGCGCACCTCTGAGGGGCCCGACGGCGTGGTGCGAAGTGCGGACGTGAGGACGCGAGGGGGAATTTTTCGAAGGCCGACCCGAAGGCTAGTGGTCCTCCCTAGGGATAAGGGCTGCGAAGATCTGCGCCGGGGGGAGGCTGTTGCGGACCACGAGTCGGCATCGAAAATATGTAAATAAATTTTGTGTATAAATTTGTATTTTTCCAGTGTTTTGACTATTGTTTAGGTTAGACTATTGTTTGTACCATATACCCTTTGTAGCGGCATAGATACTGTGAATTCTATGCCCGCCCATTGTGTAAATTCTTAGGGATCACAGCTTTAGTGTAGCCTGAACATGTGGCATTTAGTCGCACGTGGTTTTTTGTAGTTTTTTGTATTGTTACTATTGTATTTAATTTTAAATGTGTGCGTATTCGCTGTTCCGGCCCGTCGGTCACCGACATGTGCAGGAATTGTCGGGAGGGTGGGACGGCCGACGCGCACAGCTCGGCGGGGGTGGGGACGGACGCGCTCGGGCGCCCGTAAAAGGCGGGTTGGTTCTCGATCGCGCTCTCTTACGCATACGCCACCGACGAAGAACCACCGCCGGCGCAACGACCAAGAAAACCCCACTCCGGCCGGCCGACCCATAGAATAAGAAACAAATTGAAATACAGTCCACATATTTTGAAAATCGAAGATCTTTTAATTGTGTACCCCACAAATCCTTTACCGTAAATCTATATATACTACAAAAAGGCGTACGCCGCGCCTGTCGATATATTAGCTATAATCTCAAAAACTAGTGAACGGATTTTAATGCAGGTTTCATACATTCAAGGAGTGATTTCTGAAGAATGTTTAGATATACTATTCCTGATGGTTTTGTGTTTTGTTGAATTACTCGGATAATACTTACTTATAAATAATGAGAATCTTATAAAGTGGGTATTAAGATCCAAAATAATTTCCTACGATAGAGGTAGACGTGTTTGAAGTAGATTTTACGTTTTTATCATCTACGGAGAGAACTTAGTATAAAATCAATGTAATATTATATAATATTATGTTATCTGTGGTAATATGTAGTTACGTCCGCACGTAACTACATATTTCAACCTCCAAGCATCCTATTTTATAAACCATTTCGGCTGAAGGGTGACATAATATGACAGTTAACTATCTTATTAATATTATAAACGCGGAAGTTTGTGAGTGTGAATGGAAAACATCCATTCATGTAATGGATATTTGTTACTCTTTCACGCAAAAACGACTCAATGGATTTTAATTAAACTTTACAATAATTTCGCTTATACATCAGAATAACACAGGCTATAATTTTCACATGAGTGAAGTCGGGGGCACAGTTAGTAGTAAATAATTTATAGTTATTACACAGTTATAACGCTTAAGCATTTTTGTGCTTAAAATTAGGCTTCAACCAATAGATATAAATAATCTAAAATTGTGATTCTAAAGAAAAAGTTTTTAATTTTAATTATTTTTAATTAGGTACATTCTTGTTCTCCAGAACAGCAACTTCATCACGTAACGCCCTTGGTACCACTAAAGGTGTCAAATGATAAAGTAATATTCGTGGTCCTATTCATGTCTGTATGTAGGTAACGGTTGTAGATAATCATCAAGTAGGCCGCTTCATGGTCTGCCAATCCAGTTATGCAATATAATGATAAATTCCCTGTTTTTGTAATAGAATAAACTGTGATCGAGTTTGTCTTTTTATCATCATTACGAACTTAATTGAAGCGGAAGAGAAAATTTCCTTTTGCACCTGTTACCTTCGCATGTTTAATGAGATGAAATATGGAATCTCTTAATGACTGCGTTACTGGGACGAAATAAATGAAATTAAGACATTGCTGTTATGAAGATAACTGTATGAATACATCATAATATTCATAGATATAGATATCTATATATAAATTGTTTAACTATATATCTACTTATATGAAAAATATATACAAAAATCTAGTTTCCACGGATGTTAATACCTTTCTGTGTTTTATACGATATCGCCTATATCTTTCTTTAAAGAACTTTTTTTTTATTGGGTTGTTTTGGCTATTGTCAGATGTTTGTAGCACCTATAGCACTACGACCTACATAGATTAAGGAACATTCAAATAGTGTAAGATTTTTTTTAATCGGTTGTGTATCTTAGAGATAACATTAACCAGTCACCAGTAACCGTCCTACATACATATGTGAACAGTACTGTGGACATCACGTAATCATGTGACACCCGTGACACCATACATGTGTCGTCATTCCGTAGTACTAAGATGTCATGCCTTTTATCCTTTAATTTCAGGGCCTAATCTCCACTCTACAATTAAAGCATAGCGTACAAAGCAAACTGCTTGCCGGCTGAAATAGGTGAGATTACCTCAATCTCACCTATTTCAGCAACCAAGCACGTAGACGAATTTTACAAACATACTCGTAAAAATAAACTATACCATCTAAATATATATAACTCAAAGGTGACTGACATAGTGATCTATCAACACACAGCCCAAACCATTGGACGGATCGGGCTGAAATTTGGCATGCAGATAGATGTTATGACGTAGGCATCCGCTAAGAAAGGATTTTGATGAAATTCACCCCTAAGAGGATAAATTAACGCGAGCGAAGCCTCGGGCAAAAGCTAGTTTATAATATAAATATCATACTTATTGATCTAAATAAAAAAAATACGAATTTAGTGAAAAATAAGGCACCCACAATTGTATATACCTCACATATAATCAATATTTTTTTTTATAATTACTACCAAACGAAATATAACTTCATTTTAAAAACCTGGAATTATAATAAAGTTTTATAGAGTAAATTAATGTTTCATTGCGACCTAGTCAAAACGCGAGAAAGCAAACCATTTTACAGCAATGTCTCCGTTATACATTTCATTAATTTGATTCTACGAAACTGTAAAACAATAGAACATTTGAACAGTGTCGTATTTACTTTGTATTTTTAGAGCTCGACTTAATTTTGTATGCAAATTGAAGTAATTTGAATAACTTATTGTAGCTCAGTTACTTTGGTGAACAAAAGCCAAAAGCCAAGAGTAACCTTTGAAACAGCCTGGGACGGATTTGTAAGAAATAGGCACTTCTTACTTAAAATATATATGCTATTTTGGGTAATTGAGAACTAAAAGAAGAATGAAATACAATTATAATAATACAGAGTAATTCACACAGTCCTATCTAGTCTCAAACTAAGCTACTAGAGTTTGTACTATTTTTTCTAAACAACTGATAGTAATACTTAAATACATTTTTGTATATAGGTAAATTGACGCTACTAATATAAACAATTATACTTACGAATATAATATTTATTTTTTATCTATTTGTATTGAAACATATTTGTAGAGAATCGAACTCGCACCTATCGTTAATACGAAAGCAAGTATAAGATTTCAATTAATGGACATTGAAATCTAAGCAGGTGTGATAAATCTCTAGAAGTCATTACTATAAAAAATTGGTGAGACAATAATAATAAAGCTACAATATATTCCGGTTTCTAACGTTATATAATGCGAATAAAATAACTTCAAACGTAATCATCGAAAGGCGGTGTGCTAAACCGCTAGACCACCAAGATTTGGCGGTTGCCTGATACAAACAATCGTACTCATGAATATAAAAATTTGTACCGTGCGGGGAATGAACCTGCTATCTTCAGAAGTAAGGCAGTACGCTAAAACGCTGGACCCCCGAGGCTGTCATTTACATCTCCATACTCTATAATTTCACTGCCATGTCTCATCTAAACCAAAATTGTGCTTACAAAGTAACCGACTTGGCGGTTGAAATAAATACAACAGAGGTATCATACAGACGACTTTGTACAAATCTATCTCGGACAAACTACAGCGTTGTTTCTGTGGAATATATGTATATACTCTGTATAGTACATACATATATTCACGTATAAGTTATTGAAGCTTGGAAGAAAACGATACTTTGCAAACTGAATGCAATTGCACTAGTGCACTGAGACACGTCATATATCGTACGGGCAACTGGCAAATTTTGGCCCAGTCTCCCGCGAACCGTCGTCGGGTACACTCGCGCTTGTCTACGTCATACTTGCTCGATATCCGAATTCACCCCCTAATTGACGTAAACGTGCCTCTCTTATAAATTGGATTTTCAAACGGTGTTACTAAAATCGAAGCTATAATTTGCATAGAAATCGTTATCAATAGATTACTCCGGTATGGATTAATATCTGGTTGTAAAATTCGAAAATGTAAATTGTATAATGTGTTTTGTGATAAATAGATATTGGTGTTATTTTTGAGTTTTGTTATAGTTATTTTTGGACTCGGTAAGTATACCTATACATATTTATTAATATAATAATATGTTATACAATGTAATATTTCTTTAACTGTGGTTATAATGTAAATAAAATAAATTATCTCCGACATACATGCTATTAAAATTTTTAATAAATTTGTTATCGTTCTGTTAAATAAAAGAAAAACGACAAAACATAATTCGTTTATGTAATGATTGGGATTATATTGGGAACCTACAAGATGATTACAATTAAGCTAAAAATATATATAAACTGAATTATTTGGATTATAACTATATTTAAACTCTATTTATAAAAAGAGAATCTATTAAATATTATTAATTAATTATTCATTTTCTTTAGTATTTTGTGACCATTCTAAATAAGATTAAGACCATGCTTTTTTAACAAAGAAATTTTATGATTGTAAAAAATAATATTTGAAAATAATTTATTCGATACAGGTGACGATAAGTACCATTTACTTCTTCGTATAAATAATTTAATTCCGTTTATTATTGTAATAGATATGTTACAAAGTAAACCTCCGTTACTTATATCATATTACAATAATACGTGGTAATATTTTTTTATTAGTTTAGTTAGTTATTTCATTGTTTATTTGATTATATTATTTTTAAACAAATTTTTTCACCATTTTTATACACATTTAATTCAGGTATAAGCTAACATATAACAATAATGAAAACAATGAATGTAGTCTATTTTCTACTCACCTAATACTTATTTTAATAATATAAACTATTTTATGTTCTTTAATTCATTCATGAACAATGAATGATGATATATATACGGCTAGCTGATATTAATACATAATTTACAGACTAATATGTAGATAAATTTAAATTCAAATTCAAATTCAAAAATCTTATTCATATAGGACATTTTAGCCGCTTATGAACGTCATTTTTACATTATAATTTTTTGTATATATAATGTATATATAAGTAAAATAGAATTATCATGAAGTATTAATATATTTTTTATTAAGGTGTTAGACCTGTTAGCAGGCAAAATAAACCCGTAGGCGTAGCAAGGCTACATGCGTAGCATGCTCTACGAAATTCAAAGATTTATTGCATTCTCCTTATTTTTGAATTGGGTAATAAGTCTATTAAACAGGAAAATAACAATTGCGTATTGTAATAATAATTATATAGGTACAATTCGGTTTTAGGTAATAAAAAACATATAGATACCATTTTTTTTTTAGTTTGGTGGTGTATTAATTTTCTAATCATAAAAGACAAATTTGATTATGGCCGATAGAAAAAACTGTGGTAATTTAAATTTTTAACGATCATTCCGGGGACGGAAACATCGAAAATAATAATTAATCTGACAGACAGTGGTTTTCTACCGATACGACGTTAGCATATGTTACGAGTATAAAAAGAATTTTAACAGTTTGAGTGCATGTGGAGTGTAATCTCCTTAATCATTATACATATATTATAAAAATTCTATTATAAAAGGGTTATTTGAGATGAATACAGGTAATCTTTGTCTTGTTTACTTTTACATATAATAAATTATTGTTTATCTGTGATATAGACATCAGTAAAAACGGCTACAGGAATTTGTATGATATTTTCATTGTAAAGTGTATTAACATAGAGGGTCTAAGAAATATTTAAAAAATACAAATAAAGTAAATTAGTTATTAGTATATTATTAATAGTTTGTGTTATCATTAATTTATTTATAAAAGAAATGTTAGTTATTTATATAAATGATTTATTTACTTTTGTCTTTTGTTTATCGTTGCATTTCTTTTATTTATCAATAATATATGACATTTACACATGTAGATACCTATATGTATATATACATAAGTAGTTGGGCCACTAATTGCGCGAACTGAGTCTGAAATTTTGCGATTTCAGAGGAGTGCAGAATGCTAATATTTCTTTTTTAAATTACGCATAAAAATACATTATCTCATATCGAGAACATTACCCACACTATCGTATTTGATTGTACTCTTGTATTTATGGTTAAAGTCTGAGGTCAAATTGATTATAGATTAATATTGTTTGTCTTTAATATTATTTGTTTTTGTTTTTAAATTAATTATGGTCGAATTTTGACGACTGGTCGACCACTAGTATCATATATGAAATCGGTATGGACCACTAGTACATTTTCACAAAAATATCTTGTAGAATAGAATGTAAATAAACTTAATTTAAGTAAGCAGTTTTTAATGGTCATAGTTTTTTTTTTAATCTACTATTCGGAAAGCTCTCTCATCACATATTTTTAAAATAATCGTTGTAGCTTCACATTTTTAGGTCGAAATGTAAATACAAAATACCAACTAGCACCAATTTATTAGGGAGAAAATATAAAATACACAATAATGTAACTTTAAATAGACAATTTTAAAAAGGAACATTTATATTTTAGAGCATCATTAGACTTTTTTATAGGAGTCAATTGGAAATAAATCATAACATGATTCGTATAAAGTGACTATTACTACCCCTAGATCAAACAAAAAACCATTGGAATGAAACACTTAATCATCTACAGACTTCGAACCGAAGCTATGGGTCAAAGAGACACTTAACTCCTTTTTTGGGTCTGTTAATAAGGACCCTCCGTCAACGGGTTACGATAATAGCCTATCAGGGTTCTTTTATAAGTAATGCTCATGACTTTAATCGTTTTTAGGGTTGGGTACTTTAAAATAGAATCGTATTATTTTAAAGTATCGAACTTATTTTTAACGAGCTTCAAAAATAAGATTTTCCTGTCGACTGTATTTAATAATAACCACTTTAGAACAATACGAGTGCTTCGGTGTACTAGCGGTTTAGCGCACCACTGTTTCCGATGGTCGCGGGTTTGATTCCTTGTACAGTCCAAACATTTGTATTCATAACTATGATAGTTGGTATTGGTCTGGGTGTTATTTATTTATTCTTTTGCACACAATATTGCACACATGGCAGACTTAATGCCTGATGGCATTCTCGACCTATCAACCGTCATGTTTATCAGAGGTAATAAGGCGGTGCTATTAAATAATTAATATTAGAGATAAATATATAATATATGTATACATTTTCACATATATCGTAATATACTCAAATAAAATATGTTTTCAGTGTATATTATGTATGTATTTACAAAAAATATCTAAGTATTTGTATCAGTTATCTAGTATCCATATTGCCTTGGGACTTGATGACGTAACAAACGACGTAACGAAGATATAACTAGAATTTTATATTTAGAAACAGAGTTTAGATGGTTTTACAGTTATATACATACGTTGCATTTCTTTTATATATTACTAGCTGCCCCCGGGCAAACGCTATCTATTAAAACTTTAGAGTTTGGTGATAGATGGTATATAACATTGTGACTCGAGAATTTTATATATAGGATATAAATATAAGGAGTAAGATATAAGGAGCTGTAATTGAGATCCGGAAATTTTGTTTAGTCATATAACATTGTACTCTGTTATGTGCTGTTTATGAAATATATAGGTACAATATAAAGTTATTATTGTTTCTACGAATGAATATGAAAGTTTTTAAGGTATAGAAATCTTTTTAAATGTTATTCCTTTGAAATGAATTTTTAATAAAATTATTATACACATTCAGACCAATAGGCACTCGCCTCTTCCTTTTCTTTCCTTTGTTTCAGAGAGTTGGATGATAGATATAAATTAATTTGTTTATCAACAATGAAACATTGAGAAACTCATTGTTGAGCCATTAAACTAAAGTTCCAGCAAGCAATGGAAATAAACTTATGACCAACATAAATACTACCGCAACAATATTATTATCCGAAGTGGAAACAACAACAAAACTTTCCCGTACAAATATTTACCTCGGCACAGGATTCGAATGCTTAATACCTTTATGAAATGGTCTCGAGTGTGCTATAATAACGATCTTATCCAATGGGAACGGGCAATAAATAAACGACAAATTCTGAAGAGCTGAAAGTAGGTTCCAAACACGATTCTATTTACTTAGGATGGGCATCTGTCTCATTTAATGTATAGATTGTTTTATCTGATGTTATAAGTTTTTGTATTAATATGACAATTATTATTGTTAAAGATTAATAAGTAGTTCCTTATATTTCCTTCAAATTGCATTTTGGGTAAATATATTCTTGAAGAACATCCGTACAATAATCGTAATAATAAACCTTAACTAATAAATAATAAAATTTTATTAAAGTTGGCATATAGATCTGAAAGTAAAAATTGTATAAAAGTATGAGTAATAAAATAAAATACAGTGTAATAAAAAAAAAAAAGATGAATAAAGCGTTGCTTTATTTCTCATACTTCCATAGGCCCATTAAAAGTACAGACAGGTGAATAAATATAACGAAATTGAACGTATATCCATTTGGTTACGAAAGCCTAAGGAATATTTTAAATTATATACCTAAATTGGGAACAGAAATATCACAGTCAAAAATAACTCATGACGTTACGGAAAAGAAGGTATTAAATTACAGGAAAAAAATTCTATAAATCCCCTCTTCATTGTGGCCCGGCACGACAGAGAATAATGGTAACCCTACTACGGGAATAATGTTTTTTTCCCAGACTTCGGCGAAGGGTGCACAAATTGGGAGCCATTTTTTAAAAGCACGTCAGGGTTGCCCTTATGATAAAATGAAATAATATTATATAAGCATTTTGACTGTCTAAGCTATAGGAAAATAAAGTCATGGGGGGAATAATTTGCTAATACAACAGGTAAAACCTTACCGAAAAAACCTTGACGAACCTTAAGAAATCTTAGTATGGCCCTTATAAAAAAACTCTATACTCTAGTCTCCAGAGAAAGGCAGGTAGTTCACTTCACAATCTGTATGTCATCATGTCATGTGAATCTAATCAAAATAATAGAGCTGGTAGCCAGGTGCTCCTGACCACAGATGACAGTTTTGTAGTTTCTCAATTTTTTCACTGTTTCAAAGGTATATATTGACAGAATGACATCCCTACTATTATTTTAAAT